CTGATCTCTGTCATCTGGAAATCAATTGTAGCAGTGGGAGATCTCCAGGTCCCACCTGGAGTTTGGCAACCCTAGGGGAAAGTGTGCTGCACAGCAGGGGGTTGAAGAGAATGGTTTGATGGGTGCTGGGCCAAGATTGGCAACAATAGTTCCCCAGGAGCAAATAGCTGGGTTGGAGGGTGGAGTCTATGGCACTGTAACCTGTCTGAGGTCCCCATCTCCCCAGGCAGCTTTTAAAACATGTTCCTGGGACCTACACACCACCACACATTCCAACTGCCTTGCAGGGGGGGGGGGGTATGAGGTGTGGAATGGAGTGAAGTCCAATCAGCTTCCATATGCAAAAGATCTTGAAGGTTCCATATGCAACTGACATTCCAACTGCCTTGCAGGGAGGGAGGTGAGTTTGAGGTGTGGAATGCAGTGAAGTCCAATCAGCTTCCATATGCAAAAGACCTTGAAACACTGGGGGGGGACTGCACAAAGCAGCCAGTCAACCCAGCCAGCGTCTTCTGACTGACAGTTCAAGCGTCCATACACTAAAGGAGTGCATTTTAGAACTTTGGCACCCACTATTCAATTATATATAAGGAGAGATGGTTCTCCTTAGAATCCTCCCGAAGTCTAATCAGTAGGGCTTACTCCCAGGAAAACATTCTTAGGAAACTTTCCATTGTGGAAACTTTTTTTTTTATTTACAATTTTATTATTTTTCAAGAACAATAATAACAACAAATAATAATGAATAACAGCAATAGTTCCAAGTTTCACATCTGGTACAATAAAACAAGTTTTTCCAGAATCAAAAAATAGAACATTTAGATCATACTATAACCTCATAAATTTGTAACTGTTGTGTGAGTTAAAAGAACTCTTACCATATGTAGAACTCTTACCATATGTAAAAGAACTCTTACCAATCATTCTAATTGTCGAAACTTGACCTTTAGGGATGTAAATGGCAAAGCAAAATCCTTTCCCCACCCATATGCTTACTGGGCCTTTTGAAACATTGTACTAATTTTTTTTATTGGCAAAGAGACACGTGAAGAATTGTAGAGAGATGGTCCATACCTATAACATTCAACAGAATGATCATCACAGAGACAGATGCAAGAGCATATTCTCTTAGTTAATTACCATATTTACACATAAGGACCATAACCCTGATACCCCAAAAGATTTATTATTGGACAGCTGTAATTTGTATGTGAATTTAAGATACCCGCTCCCATTTTATGGCATATCTTGGGGGGGGGGGGTAGTCTTGCATCAAATACTGTATTGGTCTCCAAATAGGGATCCCCCAGAATTACAGCTTGCTTCATCTCCAGGCTACAGAGATCAGTTCTCCTGGAGAAAATGGATGCTTTGGAGGGGGGACTCTGTGGCATTGAACCCACTGAGGTCCCTGCCCTCCCCAGGCTCCATCCCCAGATCTCCAGGAGTTTCCCAGCCTGGATCTGGCAACTGTACCCCCCAATCCCCCATCGGTGGCTAGGAGGCATCTGGCAACCCTATCTCCAGAGAAGATTCATGACTTAAACACAGGAGTTATTTGGGGTAATTTTACTGATTTTGTTTTCTCCAAACAATTCCATTTTAGAAGTTTCTGACAAAATACTACAACTGGTTCCTAAAGGCAAGTCTCATAGCACTACTTTGTGATAATATGTTGTGATATGTTTTACATGAAGGGAAGAACTGGAATCTGGGGAAATGGGCCTTTTCCAGAATGATTGTTGAGACAGAATAAACACAGACACCCCCTTCCCACACACACACACACACACACTTTCCCCCCCTTATATAGAGCCAGTTTAGTGTATTGGTTATGAAGCTGGACTAGGACAGGGGAGACTTGCTTCAAAGACCTTCAATTATCCAGCCATTTGCAGCCTACTCTACACAACAAGATTGTTGTGAGGATAAAGTGGAAGAGGGGAGAATCTTGAATACTTCCCTAACCTCCCTATAGAAAGGGAAGATAAAAATGAGAGACCAGTAAAGATAGTTCAAAAATATACCCCCTAACCAAATGACTACTGGAAAACATGGGCCTTTCTTTCCCAGAATTACAATCAGAAAATGCCTATTGTCATTCAGAAGGAACCTATTGATTGCAATAGGCATTCTCTGTCTTTACACATATTCAAACAAAATATCTATACATTAGTTTTTAAAAACTAGCCTCCCCAACATGGCTTGCTGTGTTTTTCTGAAACATCAATTATTTTAGGTAAAGGACATGTTCACTAGGCTTTTAACCTAGCATCATCAGTCTTTGTCAAATTATATTGCAATGGTCAGCAAAAAAATAAGTATTCCAACCACAGCGGATTGTACAGATTAATTGGGATTTTATTTTTCTTGCTTTTCCTAATGTAATATATCTATATATATACACCCCACCGCAGACAAGGTGAAAGCCATCACCCTCCCTCCCTCCTTGGTCTGCAATCTACTCACAGACAAAATCTTTCAAATGGCCCGGTAACTTCCTCGTGCGGGTAGAGCGGCGAAGTGCGGGAATTGTGGCTGGTATATTCTGGGGGCTGGAGGAGAGGGGGTTTGAGGGAGAGGCTCCAAAATCGCAGGGTAGCTGCTGGAGTCTTTCCCCAAGATACCCGTTATGTTTCAGGAACATTGAACCAGGGGGTCCAATTCTACGAGCCCCCAAACAGGTTGTCCCCATCCCCTCCATTGTTCTCTATGGTGGGAAAGTTACTTTTTCCCCACCATAGAGAACAATGGAGGGGATAGGGGCAACCTGTTTGGGGGCCCGTAGAATTGGACCCCCTGGTCCAATGTTCTTCACACTTGGTTGGTATCTTGGGGAGAGGCTCCAGCAGCTACCCTGTGAGTTTGGAGCCTCTCACTCATAACTTTTTAAAGAGCCCCTAAGGACAGCTGGGGGATCCAGAATGACCTCTCGCGAGAGAGGTGGAATTTGCCCCTACGAGTCCAAGGCCACCACCCGGGGCTCAGGGAGGCAGGAGAACGTTTCCCCTCCCCGCCCCGCCCCCTGCGGGCATCGCAGCTGCCGCTGAGAACAGCAGTGGCGGCCATAACTTTTTTAAGAGCCCCTC